ACTTCAAGTTCAGTTCCTTGTGCTACTGGCCATGACAGTACTATAATAACTAATAGACGGAACAGTGTATTTCCCCATCTTCAGATCATCTCCCACACCCACTGTGGAACAAATTCCTACTAATTAAAAATTGTTCCATGAGAAGGGTGGAAGAAGAGGGGGAGTATTCAAATGTTTTGAAAGATATTTAATTGAATTTCTCTTTCAACCGGCAATCAGTGCCCAGACAATAGTCCAGATGTAACCGTGCAATTTATTTTAAGGATGACATGCCATACCGTCACATGCATCTGTAGATATGGATAAAACCAAAAGAGAAAATGTTAAGTGAAACTAAACATGAACACAAGTATAACAGACTTCCCTAGTTTTCATTGTAAAATGAAAAGAAACAAAAAAGGAAACAACAGGTACTGAAGAGAATGAGTCAAATAATTAACATGGTCTTATTTTATAATTAGAAGATTCAACTTATACTAGTTAAAAACATATTTCTGAAATGGTGTCCTCTTCAGTACAGGATACAGAAATTACACATTTTGTTACCGTTTGCAATCTCCAGGAGAAAGTACTTTCACACAGAAACACTCAGACCTATTTTCCTCAGATTTCAATATGTCTTTAGGTAAAACACTAAGATGTGTTGTGGTGCATCAGCTGCTCCCACCTTTCAAACACATCTCCATGCAACCCCACGCAAGTGCACTGAGCTTCTGCACTGCGGTTTCTCACTTATAATGATGATTACACCCTTTAGTTTACCAACAGCAATTAAGCCTGTCTGGGTAAGCAAAACGACCACATTCTGTGGTCTCAACCTCAATGAGAATCCCTGTCACAACACAAGATAACATATTTGTTTGCGCATTAACCAGACAGGTTTTAACCTCGGCTTCCAACAGCCCTCAAAAAAGTGCCCAAGGTGACGTGTCTAACATTTCTCAATTCTTCAAACTCAAAGCATGCTATAGTTAGTGACAAAGGCTTTTTGTTTTCAAAAAGTCCACCATGTACCGAAAATAACTAAGACAAAACAAAGGATTATTAATCTTCCTGAAAATAACAATGTTTGACAAGAAAAATAAGCTTAGAAACAACGCTCAGCCCACTGTTACACTGACTTGCTCTCTTGCTTCTACACACTTCTATCTGGGCAATTATTCTTCATTTAAGATATCCTCTCATGTTCCCTGAAGTTTGTTTTAATAAGTTGCTATTTAATAGCATTTAGACCAAGAAAAGCAAAATAATTTGTATTTTACAGTGAGCTGCAAGCCACTCAATACGATTCATTACAGCACAGACTGTCTTAAGAGATGCTTCACATCATCTCTGTGTTACTCCAGTGCTGGATGCAATTCATGTACCCAACAAATAATTATGCAAAAGCACATCATAGCAGTACTTTACTGACTATCACAGTGCAGTTACAATACATACAGAGTATCTTGCAACCTGATACCCAGGAGCTTGTCATTTACAGCCCATCAATATTGAAGGACTTTCTACATAAGCACTGATCTTTAGTGTACGTGCATGAGTAACAGCTTTATTTCTCATACAGATAGCCCTAAGTTTAGAAGACTATTTTTTTCCCCTCTGCAATTATTCATAAAATAAAGTGTATGTTTCCAGAAAAACCTCTTTCACATTAGATATTCCAAGACTTTGAAATTTAAAATGAATATGCTCAACTGGCTTCATCACCTATTTTAACCTGTTCCCTAGTATAAAATTGCCTTTCACAAGAAGTACTGATTTAGGATAAGTCAATGCAAGTTGCAACAAGGCAAATTCTGCCTAGATATGAGACCAAAAAAGTTCACAGCATGGGTAGCAAAATTCAGGATGCCTACCAAGGCTGCAAAAATCACCATCCTTGGAGATATGCAAAACTCAGACGGGGGCCTGAGCTACCTGATCTCACTTGGAAATTGTGGTCCTGCTTTGAGCTGGAGTTTGACAAGATGACCTCCTTAACTATTCTATAATTATACTACAATGTAGGGAACACCCACAGGCACACAAGATGTATATCCACATCAGATGTCTTACTATCTGATTGCTGCCTTTTCATCTTATAGAAAGAAAGAACTGAACACAACTGGATGCAGACATAAGATCACTGTACTTGAGGTATGAGCGACTGCACATCTTTAAAAGGAAGACACCCATCAGCTTGTTCAGTTCAACAGTGAACCTAAGTCTCACTGTTAATTAACTGCAACTGTTGTAGGAGCATATTCTTCCCTCCAGCCCTTCTGGATATGTAGCCTGCCCTGAAAGTAAAAAGCTGCAGAGAATCCACGCTGGAAATGTGCCTGCTGACCGTCACACAAGCACAGCCCTGGGATGCTTTCAGCCACCTAAAGTAGCAAGTGGTTTGGTGGAAGAGATTTGAGAACCAAAGGCAAGGAAGGGGCTACATGACAAAGACAAGCAGTTGAGCCACACAGCTAGAGATTTTAGTCTGTGCTCCCAAGGCAGCTTGTGCCTTTTTCAAAAGAGCAGCCCGCATGGCATATACAACACTCGGGCAGATGTTGAATGGGATTTACCAGACCAAGAAGCCACATCATGTAGAGAAAACATCTACAAGGTGTTTTTAATTCAGAGAGTGCCACCATCTCCCGCAGAGAGGAGAAGCTGCTGAGCAGGCAGTGAGTGGTACCGTGCTTCTGTGAAAGGCTGCATCAGCCAGGTTGTGACATGTTCCTACCCAGCTCACTTCACTTTTAAGTTGAGAAGAATAAAAAAAACAAAGGCGGTCACAGATGCCTGCCTAAGTGCGCTTACTTGTGCGGCCCAAACCACCATTTATCTGTCCCCCCTCGCAATAGGGGAAGTCCAGCTATGGTAAAGAGAGCAGAAGCAGCTGGTCTTTGGCCCTGATGACACAAAGCTGATCAACAAACAAAACTAAACCAGAAAAGTTCCATTTGAGGCATCTTTTAAAAATGAACAGAAAGGAAAGAAATTAATTTTAAATCTTCATTAAAGTTCCAAACCCACTTTGAATAATGAATGTTTGTATACCCTCAAATGATTGTGCCATCCATGGTGCCGGTGAGCAAAAAAAACTCGGAGCAAGTTCCTCCTGAACCAGTGCTAATTTAATGCATCTTTAAATAATTTCCCAAAGAGTTAAGTGCAACTCAAATGTTGCATCAGCAATGCGAGAGAGAAAAAAAAAAAATCTAAACATTATTTCATAAGCAAATCCAAAACCAAAAGAAAACTCAAATCAAAGCACAGGTTCTCAAATAGGCTGCTTGAGACCTTTTATTCCTCATCTCAGAAACACAGGTGTAAGATACTATTAAAACAAACTAAACTTAGAGAAACTATTTCCCATACCCTAATTTAAAATTTTAAAAAACCTCAAAAGAGAGGAATATGTCCTCTACAAAATGTTCTGCTGACTTTAAAAAAACTGTATAAATTAGCACACACAAGCAGCAATTTCTCATGAATGTTAATATAACCAAACTAAATCCAATAAACATGAAGGAAGAAAAAAAAGTTGCAAGCAACATAGTTATTGCTTATCTGGAAGAAATGCAAGTTAGGATAAACAGGAATTTTATTTTCTCCTGTGACACAGAAGCAGTAACACTTTCAAAGTTCCATCACCAGCATCCCATTGACTGCCAGTACAGTTTAGGACATGAAGCATTTCTATTACTTTTGTAAATAAAGATTAGGTTATTTCCAAAAGGTTACCAGAGTAGTTACTTTTCCATTCAAAGGAACCATATGCTGTGCACTTAACTGTAGGTGTTCCAGAAGTCTTCATGCTTTACCTCTTTCCCCACCACCTGGCGTCCACTGTCCGAGCCTAACACTCATTGCATTGGACTTTATTATGATTGGAAGTTCACTGAAGCAAGAAGCATCTCTAATATTTATTTGGATTATGCCTAGTACGTACTTTCAGACTGTGAGAAATATGTTGTAATTACTTCATTACCAATCTGGGGAAAAAATTCCACCACTTAACAAGAAATAGTTTAAACTGATAATAAGTATTAAAAGTTGATGGACACATATGCTTTCTAGAGCTAGCTGTCATGGTTTGAAAACACTCAGCTAGCAGCAAAACACCACACAGCCCCTCACTTGCCCTCCCGCCTCCCAGGGACAAGGGAGAGAATTAAAGTGGTGAAGGGAAAAGAGACTCATGGGTTGAGATAAGAACAATTTAATAACTAAACTACAATAAAATTTAAAATAATAATGATAACAGTAATATATACAAATATACAAATGAGTGACACACAGTGATACTGCTCACCACCCGATGACCAAGGCTCAGCCCATTCCCAGATAATGATCCCAGAACAGGGCAAGTCCCAAAACTGCAACTTCAGAATGGAGATAACAGCCTAAGCGTCCAAGAGACCAAAAGAGTGAAACAACCCCAAGACAGGGGCAATCCAGAGAGAGAGTGCGCACAGAAGAGAGAAATTCTGGACAGCCTCATCTATATACTGGGCATGACATGCATGATATGGAATATATCATTGGCCAATTTGGGTCTCAATCCTAAACCTAAGGTCAAATCCCAGGCTAGCAATTGGGGCTGTGCTCCCTCACAGCTTCTCCTGCACCTGCAGACACTGACACAGCAGAGAGGCTGAAAAGTCCTGGCAGCAGCTATAAACATCAGTATGTTATCAGCCTTCTTCTCAACACAAATCCAAAACATCACCACACTAGCTACTGTGAAGAAAGTTAACCCTGTCCCAGCCAAAACCAGGACAGTGGCTATTTATAAAAATATATTAAGTGCAAGACCTTAAAATAACTACAAAGTCTCCCTTCCTGAGGAAGTATAGTAATATTAGAACTTCAACACCTCTTCGTAGAAAATTTTGAAGTGTCTGAATCCAGCTAATTAGCTGGCACAATTACAGAGAAAACAACTGAGAGCCAATTCAACAGTACACTGGGAAGATACAGGACTCTACAGTACCGAAAACATATTGAAATTTAAATACCTCTTTATTGTCCCTGGAAGATCCAGACTGAATGGAATTTGATAGGAGGATGCTAAAGTGTCATCCACAGCCTTGCTTATCTCCTGTAGTTCTCTCAAAGAAATGCAGCCAAGTGAAGTAGTCAGTTCACAGTCCTGTGACTGAATAAGCCTATCTTGTTCTTCAATTTCTCTTCTTAGTTGCTGATCTTTTGCTTCCAATATGGCCAGTCTTGCTCGGAGGTCTTCAGTTTCTTTCTGCATAGAACAAAAGCCTGAGTTTACTATGACCCCTGTTAAAGAAACCCCTCCACCCCCAGAAAAATGCAGTATAAGTCTCAGAAGTAGCATGAATTAAGGTTTCCCAACTTAGCACAACATTAAATGAGAAGCCATTCTTTTGTTGACACACAAAAATTCTTATACCAGTTGTATTTAGAAACTCCAGTGCTTCTGCAGTCTGAAACTCCCTACCTCCATTTCAACACCAAATTTCAGGTTCCTCTTCAAACCCCAACTGTCAGTCACCTTTCACCTTTAAAATACAATAGTATTTCCCAAGTTAAAAACATCCCAAAAAAGTCCGAAATGTCAGTTCAACCATAACAAAAGAATGTTGTTACAGACTGGCAGCTGAAGTGATCAACAATCTGTCCGTCCTCCTGCAGAATATCCCTGCAACGGTTCCGCTAGGCTTCCAATCCAACATCAGGCACAGGATGCAAGTCATGAATCACTGTCTGGCCAGTCCTTTTGATTATTAATATTTAATTTTAATTAAAAGCACAAAATCCCTCCCTTGACTTAAAATGACCACAGCTTCAACCTCAGTTGCACTCATCTTGCCAGAAGTTCAAACCCTGTGCATTGCAATACTGGTGTTTCTTGCAAGAGCATGTTCTACTTTTTCCTTGAAAACCCAAGAGATAGCTTGCACCCAAGGAAGGAGCACTCCATGAAGTCCGGGTTGCCGTTGACAAAAGTTATTTAATACACAGCCCTTGGCTCATGTGTCCCAGAATTTGAAAAGAAGCAAGTTCAAAAAAAAAAAAAAAAAAAAAAAGATAACTACTCGCTATCAAAGTAGTTGAATGCCATAGTGGATCATTTTATTCTCTTCATACATTTCTTACAGTCTCTGCAAAACTTGGCAAGCCATTTAAACTATTATCTCAACATACAGACACAGACTGAACGTTCACCATTTTCCATACAATCAAGAGGGTTTTCTGAAGTGCTATCTACAGAATCTCAACAGAAATCAAAGCTCATAATTCCATGCTCTGAACTATATTCCATCCAGCTAAAAGGAAAGTTTTTTAAAAACACCACACACTTTTCAGGTAAATAACTAGGCATTATAAAACTGACATTAGAAATGACCATATAGCTTTTTATGGTAATTCACTTTTTTATTCCCTGTCTGTAAAATGGCATCACTCAAAGCAATGTTACAGAGATAAAATTAAGTGGTTTTGAATCACTCAGGTGCCATGTTGATTAATGCTGTAAAAAGAGCCTATTCACAAATTAATAAATCTGCATCGAAAAGAGGGTCTGAGTGGCATACTGTAAAAGGGTTCTGGGGCCAAATACTGAGTAATGAAGATAAAATGGTATTCTGAATACCTGAACAAGCACTTTCTATCTTCAGCAATGTACGAGGCAGGGATCCAGGAAAAAAAGGCACGCTCATATAATTAAAGACTCTGATAAAACATACATACTATGCCCAGATAACTGACCTTGTCATTTTTTTTGCTTTTTGAGTGCTTCACTGTGAAACCTTAACCTTCTTTTAATGTTTTCAATGCAATTGAAGTGTAGTTCACTAGTGCTCATTTTATCAACATATTTTCAAGTTTGCTGCACTGCAACAAGCTCCCTGAGTATCACTTAAAACAAGACATAGTCCTTGCATGTTAGAAGGTTGACTGGCTCAAAAATTCTAACTTACATTAGTGCTGCATACTAGATTAATCAATTATCTTTCTCCTTTTTTGGTTTTAGATTTAGCAACAAGAGAACATCGGCCCATTTTTCAACCCATAGGCATCTGACAAGGACAGAAAGGTCAGGGAGGCCAAAAACATCAGTTTGGGTTTTTTCAGTCTCAAATCAGGCTTTTAGTGTGCACAAAGAACAACTCTGTCTCTGTGTTACTGGTTTGGGAACACTGCCAAAATCTTAATAGGCCTTACTTAATACAAAGACCTTCATATTCTCTGAAAATGTAGTAATTGCAATCACTGCAATAAGCAACCTACATGGGTACAGAAAGGAAGATGAACACAATTTGGTTTTACAAACACACTTTTAGCGCTGAAATTTTTTTACAACATAAATAGATACCAGCAGCACACAATCTGCATTCACACAGAGAAAGCTGTTCTGCTCGGGAATAATTCACAGGCATTCTTGGGAGAATGGAAACTCTAGTCAGTAAACTGGAATTCTCTTGCATTCTTTTCCAGAAATGCCAGGAAGCCTTTAATGTGCTCTTGGTCAGCCTCCAGGGACAGATAAAAAGGACTTAAAGTCTCAGCATGGAGCAGCAGATTATATTTGGCTCACTAACATAAGCTGGAGTTTTACTTTGTGGATTTGAGTTTAAACTGAGATTTCTAACACAACAGCTAATCACTACTGATTGTAAACCTCCAGGTTCACTTATGGGCTGGTAGTCTCCATGAAGTACAGATCGCAGTGAAAACATTGATATGTAAATTTTAGATCCTGTCACAGGCTCTCAAATCTCTGAAGACAAATACAAAACCAACAGGAGAGAGGGTAGAAGGAAAAGGAAAGTAAAGTAGGGCTAAGGGAAAAAAATAATTATTATTTCAGATCATGTGAGATTTTGGCCAGAAGCAATCAATAAGGGATGCTGGGAGCCACCAAAAGTCAGTGGTCAGCCTTCTCCAGAACCTCAAATTCATGATAATTGTGATCAAATGCTCATAAATAGCATACCTGTACAATGATATGGATAATTTTTCCCTAGCAAAACTACATAAGCATAAAGATTCACCCAGAGCAAGTATAAAAACATTAGCTGACATAGAGTCTTAAGTACAGCAGTTTTCAACTGAATAGTTTGAGGTGGCTGGATGTCTATATTATCAAAAACAGTTTTCCAGACACTGGTGACGTTGAACTACACTATGTTTCTTCTTATATGTTGACGAAATAAATCCAAACAATACTAAAAGGTGACGACTAGGAGAGAAAAGACATTTCTTTATCTAAGTAAGGTTTTGCAATGGCCATTTAAGATGCTCTTCTCCATTTCTTTCTGGTTTTTTACATATATTTATTTATTTGTATACAAACGCATAGATGATTACACTATTGGATTCACCAAAGGAGGAAAAGTATAAAAATAATGAGATTAAGACAAGACCACAAGAAAAGAAAGAAAACTAGACCTACTAACTCTCTAAGATGTCACACTGCTGAGTGTGATTGCCAAGGTTTAACAGGAGATGGAACAAAGACTTGTACTAAACAGTAAACTGAGATTTTTGAAGGACAGTGAAAAGAAAGAGCTAAGGTTTGCTTAAAAGGCTTGCAGACTTAAAATTGGACAGAAGCCATCTTAAAAACATTCCATTTGCCAAGTTACCACGTTGTGACATCACGTGTCAGTGTAGAGTTATTGTTGGCAAATGCCAGCTGCTCCATGATGATTCCTTCATCCTTATGAAATGCATCAATCATCCTTCAGGAATAAAAGCTGGTAAATCATATATTCATAGTCAATTCTAATCAGAAATGGATGAAAGATGTTTTCCTTCAAAACTTTTTGTCTTCAAATAAAAAACTTCTGAAGATCAGTGAAATATTAAAATGGCAAATTAGAACACAAAGAGTACACTGAAAAAGATGAGGAGAGTTAAAGCACACACATAAGCCACCCAGCCTTCCAGTTCTGCTTCTCCGTAATGAGCGTAACACAACTCCTGTGGCTGCCATACCCAATCACCTCTTACATTATCAACTGGACTACAGCCAAGGCTCTAATTGCTGCACAGAAGCAAAGTCACTATTACAATAAATTTATTTATTTCTGTGTGACAGCTTACAAGCACACAGCACTCGTTCTTATAGACAACTTCACAGTCCTGTTACCTGCAACCATTTCTTTTGTTGAAAAAGCTCGTTTCGTTTTGTGGCTGAAACATGCATCCTCTCCTGGTAAGCGGATGTCAAAAGTTTATGTTCATTTTCATGCCAAAGCCGGGTTTCTTCATGTCTAACCCTTAAAAAAAAAAAAAAAAAGATAAAACATAAAAATCAGAGTTATCACTTTGTATCGACATCTCAAAGATTAAATAGATCAGAACCTTCAGAGTTATGACACACTATCATCAGAATGATTACACCTTAAATGGATACAGTTAGAGAACAAGAGATTTTTTTTCTTGGCATATCTTCCTTTATTATCTCAAACATTTACACTGTTTTTACAACACGCTGAAGAAGGAAAAAAGAAAACTTGCATAGCTTCAGGCTTCCTCCAGCTTCTTCATATTTCAGAAATTTATCCATCACTGCCTTGAAAGAGACAAAACTATAGGATGTAATTTCTATCAATACAGAGAAAAATCTCTCTTAGACAGAAGTTTAGGAACTTGCCAAAGCCATTTTTGCAGCTTCTGTCAGCTTTTGAAGACTACATTAGAGATCATCTGGAGCGTTTGCTCCACGATGCCAAATTTAACTTCTCTCTTCCACAGTGAGTTCTTTCAAAATCGCAGTCAGTGGGATTCCTCACAGTGGTTGGTACAACCCTCAGCTGTAAATCTTTGCATGATTAGACCCCAAGGTAATCAGTGCTTTACATTAAGTGTCAAGTCTATAATCAGCCTCTCAGAATGCACCTGCAAACAATGCAAATCTATTTTGTCTTGCATGTTCCTGCATAAGGGCACGCGCACTTCCAAGGGCAATTGCATTTCTGTGTCCATCTCTGAAGACAAGTGTGTGCATTTCCACATAAAGGGTACAGAGGCATTTTGATATCTTGTGTAAAAAAAAAACAAAAAAAAAACCACTATCTCAAACAAAGAATGTTTCTGAAGCATGATTTCCCATCATAATCTTACAAAGCAAATACATCCATGCCACATACAAAACATGCATCCCAAGTCTGGTTTAAGCATGATTAATCACACAGTTATGATCTCCATGCACAGCTGTTTAACAAGTGCGTAGAACAAGAGGTTCCCCTCTCTTCTGCAGGACTGTCAAAAGACATGCATGCTTTATTCCCTCTCCGTGGGCTGAAGAATGTACTGAAAAGGCAAAATAAAACCTTGGCACTAAAATAAATGGCATTAATACTTAAACAAAATAGACACAATGGCAGCGTAACTGTATTTCTGTAATAACAAAATAGATCAAAAGAGACACCCCTATAATGGGATGCTAGGCCACCACTGTGATGTGCCTTACAATCATCAATAGCTGTGGCTCCACCCAACCACACTTCCCAGCAGCTCCGAAGCCTTCTTCCTTTAGTAAGAGCTGCATCCTTCTGAGAGCTGTATGCAACAGAAATTCCTGAGTGGCTGGTGAGAATTTAGAAAACATTCCATGATAAACATAGGTTATCCTCAGAACCTTCTTGGAAATCCCATATACACCTGCCTACTTGGTACTGAGGAAATAGAAACAAGAGCTCTGTGATCTCAACCCTCTGTGACTGCACACAAACGCAGCATTGTTCCTAAGCTAAACATAACTAAACGCAGCTCCTACCTCCTGCCACCAATATCCTGTGTCAATACTGAACGCACTCACCTAAAAACAACCATCTCTTAATCAAGTAAAACAAAACCAGGGCATGAATTTCAGTCTCATGTATTAAACAGAGAACTTTTTAAATGAGAAGTGTGGATGGCAGGTCATTTATTAGCAAAAAGATGAGACCGGCTTAACTACAGTATGTTTTCAAACCTGTACTACCTAAAAATGCTGTTGGAACAGAAAAATTTTAAACACCCCTATTGAAGACAAAGGGTACACTTGCTGCATCAACAAGACAGTCAGACCACAGACAAAGTGGTGCGGAAGGCTACAAGAATCAAGTGAGAAAAAGAGAGGGTGTCACAACAAAAACTCAAGCTCAAAGAAAGGAGCATGCACAAGACAGAAAAGTGAAGAGGATATTCATCTGACCCTGAAGAATGGCACTGCTCTCAGACCTGTGCGAAGAGAAGAGTCAAAGATATAAACGTCTGAAGAACAGGAACACTTTCAGAAACATATATATTATGTATTTATATGCATTTTATAAATAAAATATTATTTTTCCTATATAATGTATATATAAGCAGACTATGTATCTCAAGGATGCTTTAGTGACTCAATTGCTATCACACTGAAGACAACACCACCTCTAAAGCCAAAATCATTATTACAGATTGGTGCATAGAACAAACACATCTCAATGACAGAATATAGAATGTTGTATCCTAATCTTTAAGGAAGAGTAAAACAGCTTTTTAGGGCCTCAGTAAGCAGAAGGAAAGACTGCTGAGGGAGTGAAGTTCGTTTTAAACCTGCCTCATTACAAAATACCATAAATAGAGGCTAAAAATACCCTTAAAAGTCTCAAGTTTCACAACAAAATCCTGTACTGATTTTATTTAATTTTCCTGTATATCAAAAATTGCACCCAAATGTGTTGACTAGCAGACCACAGACTTTATATGTACAAGCTGCCAGAAAACAAAAGCTTTCTTTTATGCTACTGCATTTGAGAACAGCTTCCACTACCTATGAAGAATCCTCTTACTTCTAACAACTGTAACCAGTAGCACAGCTGAAGACAGACCTAGAAATAGAGACAACTTTTTCTTTCTAAGCTAACTACCTCCCTTGGGTCAGGCAACACATCTCACATTCCCCCAGTCTTTGAAGTTGCTATCCCTTCAAGAGAAGGCTGAGAATTTATTTTTGTGACTTTGTACAGTGCTGAGCACATTACTGACACCTAACAAATGATGCATAAAAGGAAGCTCACAAAGATCTACACATATCAAAAATCTGGTTTTACTTTATATTTAAATATCCCTTCATTGCCTGAAAAGGAACATCAGAATTAACTCCATGAGGAATCGTTACTCAAGCTGCCGTGTCAAGGATTCAATCCCATTCCCACTCAGTATCAGTGAGAAAAGTTCCTTTAATTCACCTGTTCATCATGATCAATGTTTTTCAGGGCAATCCTGAAAGAACTGTAGAAAGAAAAAAGAGAGGACAGGGCAGATTTTCATAAACAAGCTTCATATTGATATTTTAGAAAGTCCTTAAAACTCTTTATTAAAATTATTCATAAATGGTATGCAGTATTTTGAGAAAAACAGAAGCATCACTTAACACAATAAGGAATTAAACTTACCGATCATTGGCAGCCCAGTGGAATGCTGCTTGAACTTGGGTAACAAACTTATCCAAAAAACTGCTAATTAAAGGATGCCTTGAAGGAAGCTGAAATTTTAAAGATTTTTTCTCTTTCTCCAGTTCTTCCAGTTTCTGTCTAAGCTTATCAGCTAGAAATTAAATAAAAAAAGTTACTCAACAGTGGCAAAAAGGTGCCATTTTACCTGAAGAAGAAAAAAGGTTGACCAACAGAAAGTAAAATCCATCTCACAGACAGTTCTTCCATTTTTCATAAAATATGTCAGTCAGTTTTGCTCAAGGACGAATTACGAAGACTACAACAGAAAACATCAGACAACCAGGATGCTAAATTACTTTCTTCTATGAGAAGGACAAAACTGCAGGCTTCCCAGAACTTTCACAGAGTTTGAATTTGGTAAGGCTCCAAAGAATTGGCTCAAAGTTATCATCTGTGCTCCTTTCCTAGAGTAACAGCTCCAAATTCAATACTAAGAAAACTCCTACTTTACACTACTTCAGTTTTAAAACAACTTTAGACAGCAGTTATGCATGTGAAGTCTGACCTTTTAAACAATTTTATTGTTATTAGATCAAGAACTGAAGAATCACACAAGATATCTCAGAAATATATTTCAGCAGAAAATGCACATGCAATTATAGCAATTAATTATCTCATTCTAGGCCCTCCTGAATTATGTTTACTTTAACCACCCAATAAAAAGATTCACTTTCAACTTAAAATAAAAATGACAGTGGTCCTTAAGGGGTGCTTTGACTCTACCATAACTCTATAAATTTCTTAAACACTTCTCTATATAAGGTAGTTCTTACCCTGTGTAGAAAACAAAGAAACACAGCTCCAATTACAAATTATTATTTCTGATTACATATATTCTCTATAGCACCAGTATACTAGCAAAATCACATCCTTGACAGATAACAAGCCTGGCTGGTCCAAGCCAGAACACCTTTGATGATACATCAGTCAAATCAGAGAGTTTTGAGCTGGCCCATGAATGAAAAACCTTTACAGTTCAGTATTTTCCTCATGACCTCACTGCCTACAATTTTGCATGACTATAGCCTTCCTTTCCTTCTAACATTTCAATATAAGATGTTACTATCAGAATAATATCCATCTGTGCATGCTTTTTACTGCTTATTTTCTTTCTTTATCCTCAAAGGGGTTTTAAGAAGATGGATCGCTTATATTTGCTGGTGTAGTGAAGTTATCAATTTTGACAATAATCTATCATCACTGTGATTATGATCTCTCTTCTGCCTCTGTGCTGTTGGGGTGGAATACAGACACAGAACATACTAGTGAGACTAGATCTTCCTCCTAGGTCAGCAGATCATTCCAGGATAAACTCATGTTGTTGTTAGGGTACAAAATGCTGCCAGCAGTCTCTAGTTGACATGATCACCACTAAAGTTACTGCAGGGTCCAGGCCATGCCCCAACAACCACATGTATGTGAGCGTATACTCTTCCTGCAAAGGAAAAACACCTTTGCAGTAGTGGACAGGAACCGCATCTGCAGTGTGTTTGCCGGGGACCACAGCTGAACAGATTCGTCCACAAGGAAATTGGAATTTGGGCCCAGATGGGACTGAGACCACATTTTGACCAGAAAAACATATCAGCAGTCGCATTTTGTGTGGAATTTCAAACACATCCATCAAAAATATCACTGTTACAGACAGAAAAGTAAGGGCTGGATTGTGACCCATGACCACTGAACACCAAAACACAAGGACACACCACCAAACCATTCACCATTGGGCTTCCTGTGTCACCCGAGCAGCAGCTGTGGCAACACACTACAGCCATTGAACGACGCTGTCATTGTGCTTCAACACAATTATGCTCACGTTGTGTTTGTGTGTCCAGTTGTTTCATTCTTCTGCTCCTACCCACCCTGGCCCTAGAAACAGGCTATTTTGAGAAGGAAAACAGATGAGGGGATCCGCGTGCCAATTCCTTCTCTCTCTCATTAATTCTTGGCTGCATCCTGCTATATAAATTCTAGTCTACACAGAATTCAATTAGTTTCTACTAACAGACGTTTCTAAATAATTTGTTTCACTGTCATTTTATAAGTACTATTGCTGGACATATCTGCTCATCATCTCTCAGCACTAAATGATGGCTTACCCTTTCAGCATTGTGGTTAGGGTTTACATCTCAAGAGACTCCACCACCACTGAGTCAAACACTGCAGCACTAGATTTTTAAGCTTCTCCCCTGGAGAGAAGACCCTTTAGATTGACCTAGCTGATGTCTTCAGTGCATGGAGAGACCAAGGCACCTCAGTGCCAGCTACAGAGCAGGAAACTATACAAATAAGGCTTATCTCAGTCCAGTTCTCAGTGCTGCAGCTCAAGAGAGATCTGGATCAAGCAGAAGTAATGGAAATGACCACAAGTATAGCAAATAGGACATGTGAAAAAGATGGCAATAAGCTGTGTTCCTCGACCTAGTGGAGATAAAGACTGAGGGGTATAACTTCCACCACTATTACATACCACTAAGCTGCAAAAAAAGCAGCAGTGCAATGCTTGTCACTTCTCCTCAGAACAGTCCTCAGTAACAAATCTGAGCTGCAGCAAAGGAGATGAGGAAAAACATTATCTAGTACAGCACCAACTGCTTGGGTAGCCAGGAAATCTCCACCCATGTTGGTTTTCAGGTCAAACAAGTAGCTCTCAGGAACAGCTCTACCACAGTTTTGAATGTTAAGGTCAGCAAGATCAAATGCATTCTCCCAAGATGCCTTCCCACCACATTTTCTAGGATTTTCCAGCCAAGGAGCAAACACAGATGCAAGCCATCAGACTCAAGGACACTGCTTTCTTTTGCCTTCATTTTAGTCTTTTAAGCATGTTATTTCAATACAGAAAAGACCTTCCACAGGATCTCAGAGCTCACTGATGGACTGAGACAGCAAAAGAAACCACACACACTCAGATATCTCCATCACACACAAAGGCTTAATACTTTGTTCCTCCGTCCCATACTTCAACACAAAATAAGTCCTCGAATGCACAGCTTACATGCAAAATGCAATCCTCCCATTTGAGGAAGTTTTTAAGTGAAGGAACTTTAATGTATTTGATACATACTGTTTTACAGACAAGCATTTAGAATAAGGCTTAGTTCTGTTCACCAACCTTTTAGTTCACTGTATTCTGTTGCTAGCTTGCTGCCCTGAAGCAGTCCTACGGATATCCTAGACTAAGATTCCACTCCAGTGCAAAAGGCAAAAGTCAACACTTAGATTACGCTCCATCCCAACCCGTTACTGCCTGGTGCACTTCAGACATCCCACTGAATTTAAAGCCATCCCAGGATACAGGCCTGGAAGATGCTGACTAACTGCTTCAATTAAACAGACAGCAGTCAGAGAACTGCATTGTCTCCAAAGATCATGTTTTGTAATAACTTTCAGCAAAGGAAGCAATTTCCATAATGCTCCATATGAGAACATTTGGCTACCTCTCTACTTCTTACATATTCTGATACATAGTGTAGTCCCATGGACCAAAGGCCAGTTAGTAGTTGGAGCCCTTCAAGTACACCTCTAGAGCAGACCTTCAGAATTTGTTCCCCTGAAAGAAAACCAGTCCATGCGGTCCAAGACTGCTCTACAATGCAAAGCAAAATATACTAAACAGGACAACTGGGAGATTTCCTTCAAAGTCTCAGACACCTAATCTGAACTAAAATCCTATTTGGGCCAGTGTCCTTGCAGTAGTTTCTGCAATCAGTGGAAAAAGTAGCTCCTTTAGCAGAGTCACAAGCTTTCCAGACAAGGCTATATATAAGCCCCTGGGTACCACAGCCAAACATTTGTGTTCAGTTCTTAAAAGGCTGGAGCACAACAGCTACTAGAGCAAAACACAAATAAAATTACCCCACTTACCCACCACTTAATTTCTTCCATTCCAACCAAAGAGGTAACTGTGAAATTCAGCACTCCAGCTGTGCTCCTGAGCAATCAGGATGACCTTGAGGAACAGCTGAGCAGATCAAACTCCTGGCTGGTGCACATCCTTTGGAGTCAGAAGCAACTGCTACAGAAATCACCTCAAAGCAAGAGGCCAAAATCTGTAGAATGCTATGATTCCATAACTCTTTGTTTTGCGTGTATCCCTCAGTTATTTGGCACTCTTAGTACAGGTGACAAACCCTTCTAATTCCTGCTTTACCCTACTGAGGTGCTAGATTGAGATTTGCCTCTGATTAAAGTTAAAAGACTAGTAACCTGAAGAGTACAAGAGAAAGGTCTCCTGCATTCCCAGACTTCAGGCATCAGAGCAGCCAAAACGCACAGCAGTGACCTGATGCCACATTTGATGACACAAGCTTCCCAGCTGCAGGCAACATCAGCTGTCTACCGTTTCTTCATTCCTTTTTCTTTCACGGCAACAAGAGACCGGTATACATAAATTGGGTGAGGAAGGAAAGGAAACCTAGTACTCAAAGTAGTCTCCACAAGAGAAGCAGGAGAAGAGTGGAACTGTTCAAGCAGACTCTCTGCCTCTCAGCAAGCTCTGCATTTTCCTCCCAGCAGTCCATACCAGCCAAGAAATTGCTGCATCTTTAAAGCATATATAATAGTTCAGAATTTAATGTACCAAATGTCAGTGTTGCAGCAGAGTTGGGAAGCCTGAAAGCTTAAAAAAATATAAGAACAGGCACATTTCAGCTGTTATACTTGTTATAAAAAGAAGCTTGACACATTGACAGACATTGATTTTTTTTCCCCTCTCTAATTCATATTGATTTAAGAGCATTCATTTGGGCTTTGAACATAAAGCTAAATTCTCAGAAGTTTCACTGATGCTTCCCCTACACCAAGTTTCCCACCTACAGTTCACATCTTCACACTGAAAAGTCCATGGCGTATCTGTAACTTCTTCCCAGAAGGGCACTAGGCAAGCCTAGCGTAGACTTTCAGCACAGATTTTGACCAGTGCCCTTATTTCATAGAACATCCATAGCATCAACACCGCTGACACACTGTCACTCAGATCTATCATTCCCTGTCTCTCAGTAATCAGTCAAATGCAGTGGTGATTTATGGGCACAAGCCGTAGGACTCAGTGGGTTTTGTCAGGATGCAGGTACAGTTACTT